CTGCTCTTTTATTGGGGGGTGTGGAGGGGCTGCGACCTGTCAGCACAGACCCTCCATGGATCTGCCTTTGGCGCCCCAGGGCGGACGGGCTCCCGGGACCCCGCTGCCCGCTGCAGCGAGCCCCAGCCCTGGAAAGCCCCGCGCAGACCCAACGCGCAGAGCCCGGAATCATCCTCGCCCCCTTCACTTTTCCCCCTTTGTTCCCAGCCGCGCAGGGGAGCCCGGAGCGATGGTGCTTTCCCCCAGCTCCCGCTTCTCCCATGCGTGCCTGCTGCAAAGAAAGGGGGGTGGCGGGGGGGGAGCAGGGTGGCTTGAAGCACCGCTAAAGGGACCCGCGTGTGCAATCCCTGGCCCGGGAGGCGTGGAGAGCACGAAAGCTGCATTGCCCACGGGGAAGAGGGTTGCTTCACCATTGTGCCTCTCCCGGTGCAGCTGGCACGCTCGGCAGGGGGCTGCGATCGATTGGGCGGCTGGGCGATTGCACAGGGCTGTTAGCTCGGCTCCGGGGCCCACTCGCCATCCATCACGCGCGACCAGGGGGGAGAGGCAGGCTGCAGGGCTGGGGGAGCAGCCGCCGGGCAGAGGTGGGGCTGCAGGCGGTGGGGGAGGGCAAGGAAGCAATGATTTGCAAATGCCAAGCAGGGGCTGGGGAAAGAACTGCCCGTGGTCAGCCCCAATTTAGTCATCCAGAACCCGCCCCACTGCTGGCTGCTCCTAGACCCCGGGAGCCCTGCAGCAGGGGGTGGGTGCATGGCTCTGAGCAATGCTGCGGTGAGAGCCTGCCCACGTCCGCCCTTGTGCAGCTCACCAACCTGCCCCGGGAGCAAAGCCAGCCTTCCGAAGTGCACCGGCTGACCACCCCCCCAGTGTTGCAAAAAATGAACGCATGTAGATTTAATGTGGGAGGCTGGTGAGCGTAGGAGAATTTGCACCTTGCTGAGTATGCAGAGTATAAGGAAGGGGTGCGTGTGTTTTCAGGATTAACGAGTAATCTTGGAAACTGCCCCCCTTTTTAATTTTCCTTATGAGTGAGAAGTGTGTGCTTAATCGGTTAGTGGCTTCAGACCCTCTTGCCTTTCTGTCAGGTCAATTAGCTGCCTTCAGAGAAAGGGCTCTCTCATCCGCCGAGAGTGCAGTAGGACTTCAAATTCTCATGGGGGTTACATTCAACCAATGCAGGCTCCTCCTGCAGGAAGATTAATTTTCGTTTAATAATCCCAGATGTTTAATTAGCATAGTGATGCCCAGTTCTGCTGTCAAAATCAATCAGGAAAGGTGTCCTGAAAGACAAACAGTTAATTTTGTTTAAGAACAAGAAATTGAAATGTTTGGCTAGACTAAGACAAGACCTTTAAATTACCTTGATTTGCTTCCAAAAATGCAGTTTTTGTTTTGGAAGGAGTAAATTTCTTCAAACCTGCACTTCACTGTCTCTTGGTGCTACAAATTAAATTGACATTCCCATTCTAAATAGAGATTCAATAAATAAACTTTAATTAGTTACAATATGTGAGTGTTCTGCAATATACAGCATATTGTGTTGGTAACATACTAGTGACAAATATCTTTACCTTATACATGAAAAGATACCAAGAGGGTAGCAATTACTTTTTTCCTTACAATGAAAATCCTTACCGTAGTTGTGCATGTTAGAGGAAATGCACACATTTGCAATGTTACTCATTTTTTAAAAAGCATAAAATTTACAGGGATAGTAAAGAAAATGATGTGAAAAAGTGATATATTTTACTGAAAAAAAGAAAATATTGGGAACCAACAATGGGATTTACTACCTGGAAGGAAATATCCATTGTATTGTATATTAATAAGGACATTTACTTTGGCTCTTTATCTAAACGTAGCAAAATCTTATTCATTGCATGCTGCATTGTGACAATGCCATCTTTACATAACACATTGGACAAAATAGAGAAGGAAGAGCTTCTGCTACTTTTTCTTTTTAAAGTATTGTAACAGTTAAAACCCATCACTAGATAGGCCCCATCAAGAGCAACCTTTCCTCTGTAGACCAGTGAATGTGAACATGTACTCCCACACCATTTTTTTTTTTTTACTCTATATGAAGAAACATCATCTTGTCAACACTTGCCTGGCAGGACTACAGGTTGAACCTCTCTAGTCCAGCATTCTGGGGACCTGACTAGAGCGGAACCAGAGAATTTGCTGAATCACGAGAGGTCAATATTGCCTAGCAGGGTTACCAACACTTCCACTGCTTCCTGGGCTCAAAGAAGACATTGAGGGGTACATTAGATCTAAATAACAGCACAGAACACTGAGGGCCAGAACTGGTGGCTGCAAACAAACTTGAAGGGATCTCAGGAAACTCGGCCACACCCTAGCTAACTAAAACCATGCTGGACCATGGATGTCACTGGACCAAAGAATGACAGTCTGCAGAGGTTCAACCTGTACTTCTTCCTGCAGGCTAATGCAGAGAATTAGTGCACATGTCCACCAGTTAACGACTGAGGCCTCTTTGCATTAATTTGCTAGCTCCCCACACCTCAGTGCCTTGAAAATGTTAGCAAGAACCCCACACACACACACGGAAAACAAATGCAAACGAGCCTTCTTCTCTCCCCACTCCTCAACTTAGTGGACCATCCAGGCCCCTTCACAATCCACACAACCACATGAAGATTATGGAGGCAGGCAATGAAAGGAAGAAGAGGATTTGGAGGGCAACTATTGGTGACATCTTCCAGTCCATTCCTTTGGGAAAGCTGCTTTAAATTGTTCTAGTGCTTTTAATACCACATATTACTGAGTCATAGCACAGATTCATCCCTTCACAAGCCCTCAAAAAATGTAGAGTCAACACATAGGGGGATTTCTTTTCTAAAGAACAAGTTTCCAAAGGGGCTCACTCTATTAATTTGCCTCCATAAATAGGCAAAGAAAAGATAGCTCTGCATTATGAAGCTACTTTAGCCATTCATCTTATCTGCACTCAAAGTCGTGTCTTTCCAGTAGAAACGAGAAGACTGCAGATCACCTGGAAGGTCAACACAAGCTGTACTTTTAATATGTGGATCTAGGTTACATAACTGTAAAACTCACAGTTTCTGGTGCACTATGGTTTATTTACTACTGGACTTATATTGTATTTCCTTAGTAAGTTAGTTTAAATGTAAACCAAGTCTCTTTTTTGGTAATATGACCGTTGGGTTAGACCTGGTTTTTTTCAGTGCAGGGTTACATAAAAGACATCATTTTCCTACTATCTGAGATGATACCATGCATCATTTCATTGAACAAAACGGTACTAACAGGATTCTCTTATCAATAGTTTTCAGCAACCTGTTCTAAGGGTTGTCAATATGTGACCAAAGGTGCGGAATGCACCCTGTGCGCTACTGTAATAATCTTTGTACAAAATATGCCTTGTGGGGTATCGTTTGCAAACTAACGCAATAACATCCTGGCGAAATATGTGCAACACCATTGTGTGTCAAGTTATGAATCTGAGTGAAATCATGACTGCAACATGTTGATCAGTCAAGTCTAGAGAGGGGAGAAGCCTGTTTCTGAGACAAAGAACAAGCTGATGCCTCACAGCAGCTGTTGTCAAAGTTGATGGGTACTCACTGGTCAAGTGGCCATTCTTGGGAGAGGGGGCGGAGAGATTGATCTGCATTTTAACAACAACCTGGAAACTCTCACCACTGGAGTCATATGTCCCTCCTCACAGCAGGCTGTAACTTAGCTACATTTCAAAGGATGCCTGGACTACAATGGGGAAAAACACCCCAGCTTTCTCTCTTTCTTCCTCTCCATATCTCTCCCTTTCATTTAAGATGACAAAGGAACCAGCCCTTTGACTTTGGGAGGAAAACTGACATGAAAACTTGGTTAGCAGTGTTGCTGGAAACATATGGCAGGGATTTTACCTAGGACCAAGCCTAGTTTGTTAAATTTAAGAAACATTTTATTTCTTTGGTAAGCTTTTTGGACTTTAATGCCTACTACTTGAACTCACCTAATCTTTATGTATGCCATTGAATAAACTTGTTTATTATCCAAATTAACCCAGCAGCGTGTTTACATTGTTTGGTAACTCCAACTAAAGTAGCTAACTACTGGATGTTGTCCTCTGGGTCATTAATGTCTGAACCGTCAAGGAGAGAGATGGACAGCACAACATGTATGGGGGAAACTCAGGGACTGGGAGTGTGTTGGGGTCATCCTCCAGGTAGTAACCAAGGCTGCTGGCAGCCAGAAAAGGAGGCTGGTATGTTGTTCACAGGCTGTTGGGATCAGAGCTGTTGGCCTGGGCTGTAGCGAAACCTGGACTCAGGGTGTAACATGCACACTCTTAGGCTGTTTGTGAGCACCCCAGGTTGGGATCTGTAGCAGCAAAGCATTGAGAAATACCCCACATTGCAGGGGTGGTGCTAACCCTTCACTATTCTAGATTGCACCCCAGAATATGATAGCATGTCTGTCTTATTCTGTGTAATCATCCTTTTCAAGCTGAATACTGATTAGAAATCCATTAACATCTCAATAGTGAACATTTCATTTAGTTTCATGTCAGTCAAAGTTCACCACTTTGTGAAAGAATGAAAGTTTTATGTTAAAACTGTTGCTATAGATTTGGAGTAATGATTGGGTGTTATTTTTTCCACGGCAACCATTTAACAAACTGTTATGTTTTGTTTTTAAAAGAAAAATAAAGTATTTGTCCTATAAATCAATAGAATTCTCCAATCTTCTACCAGAATCTTACCTGTAATGTGCTTTTCACTGTTCTCAGTGTAATCCACTATTGGACATGGTTATATTAGATATTGTTTCATTGAGAATTAAAGTCACCCCATACAAGAGCCTGTCCTAGATATCACTTAAGGCCCATGCCTAAGACTGAAGTGGTGCTTACAGCCTTTCGTAAGCCCTCTGCACTGGGTGATTTTCTCCCTCAAGGCTTTAAATATCTCTGTCTCCTCTGACCTGGCTACTGCTGTTGAATGCCTTTGCTGGTTCCTGGCTAAGAGGGGGACATGGATGAAGGCTACCTTGTTAAGGGCTCACTCCTGCCCTGCTCTGACACTGGTAGGTTGGGGAAAGCAGCCAGAAGATGGGGTGAATGTGTTCATGAGCCACCACATCTTAATAGAGATTTTTCTACTCCATAGCAGGCAGATAAAGAAGCCTGCCTGTGTCCCCAGGGGAAATGCACAACCAGAGTTGTAAATTGGGGATTGTGATGGTGGTGGGATGACAATTCAAACAGCTGAAGAAATGAGAAATTAACAATTGACAAGTGTTACAGAGATGGGCTCCGGTTTGTCATAATGTGCAGGGCAGAACAGTCCTTTCAGGTATCTAGTATAGGCAATGGAGCTAAACACTCTAGCCTAATTGTACCTCACTACAAAGTGTTATGTTGTATCTTTTCCGTTCCCATAGACACCTTGTGCTCTCCGTAGACGCAGCATCGTTAGTCATTGTCCAGAGAGGCCAGTCTTGCCAATTGCGTAACACTCTCAACTCTAGGTTGAAAGGAAAGGGAAGCACTCAGCACTCACCAGGAGCTGTGCTGCTGAGTTCCAAAGGGGGAATCACATGTTTGCCTCAGTTGGAAGAAGGCTACTTACAGGGCAGCATTAGAAATATGGAGAGGAGAAAACGGAGTTCTCAGTCACTTGAGGAAACAGATTCCCCAGGAACAAACACAGGTTGGACCTCCTGGTACAGTTGGGACCTGACCAGTCCCGAAGGAGGGAGTTTGCCGGACCAGGGGAGGTCGGCCTCTCTGCTAGGCTCCCCTGTCCCCGGGCTCCCAGCTCCTTGGCTAGCACCAGGGCTGCTGGGGCTCCACTGCCCCAAGGCTGCCAGACTCAGCTGCTCTGGAGTCGCCAGGCCTCTGCTGTCAAAGGGTTCCACTTCCCTGGGCCGCTGGAGCTCCGTGGCCAGCCAGAGGGCTGCCGGCACTCCACAGCCTCGCGGCTGCCCCGGGGCACCAAGACTCTCCTGCCCCGAGCCAGGGCTCTCACTATCCTGCTGGACCACGGATGTTGCAGAGACTCCTAGACCAGAGAGGTTCAATCTGCATTGACCTCTAGGACACATGTAACTGTATGTAAGTCCTTAGCTCTCCAAAGAGATGACATGTTCCTAATACCAATTAACTTTGAACCACATGACAGAAGTCTTGGAACATCCACCACAGTAGCCTCCTGTACTGTCACAGTTCCCGTCTCTTGGTTCACAAACTGGGGCGGAGTTTAAATTATGTTCAGTTGAATGTAGCTATACTCAGCTGTAACAAAAAAATTTCAAAGCTCTGAAATATATTTCACTGAGTGGCAACATCTCATGCTATGCAAAGCTCAGTAAGGAGATGAAAAAGAAAAGCGGAGCTGAGCAAACATCACAGTTGAAGAGCATGTACAATTACTTGCTTATTAGTAAACAAACAAAGGCAAGGAACATAGGTGAA